CTCTGCAGACGTTCACTTTCCGTGTTTCCTGGAGAACTTTCAGTGGTGAGGTCTTGGTGAGCCCCTCGGCGGCTCCCACGCTGTGACCTGGCCCTCACCGGGACAGCGGCTCCAGCGGTGGGTGTGTCTAGCTCCACGGTGCCGCCCCCGGTCTGGGTCTGTGGTGCTGCTTGCCCCACGTGACCGGTCCACGTCGGGTCTCATCCTCTTCTGTTCCGAGGGCTCCTCCTCTTGCACTCACGGGGCTGGGGCTGCTCTCCTCCCTCCCATGATGGGGCTCCTGCCACGGCTCTGCATCTGGGCCCTGCCGTGACACTCACTGCTCTCGGGTGTCCTGACCGATGCCCACGCTCTGCTGGTGGTGCCAACCTCTCCACTGGCTGGGCGCCTGAGTCCCACKTGCTCTCAGGAGGCCCAGCCACCCTGGGAAAGGCCTGGCCCTCCCCTGTTGACCACGATGYGACTCTGCTCTGTGTTCTGGGCCTGTGTGGGCCTGCGTCCACAGTGGCCTCCGCTCAGCCAGAGAGGCCTGGAGGACCCCGCCCACACTACATCAGTGTGCCTCCCCACTCCCATCCCGTCCAGGCAGTGGACGCAGCTGCAGCACCCTGGGGGCAGCTCTGCAGAGGTGGACTCCTGCAGTGGCCGGTGAGGGCTGCACCTGGGAGCATGTGCCGAGCTCCGGCTGTCTGCACGGAGGGCCAGGCTGGAGAGGGCCAGAGCCCCACAGCTGCTGGGGGTGTGTCATGCACTCACCCACCTTTCAGGTGCCCGCCTCGGGCTCCCAGGCAAGCAGACCCCCCGGGAAGCAGACATGCTCTGACTCCCCAGTTATCTTGGGGTCAGAGGTAGCATGTGAAGTCCAGGAGGGATCGCGGGGGCTAAGGGTTCCCAAATCCGTGAGTCCAGTTAGTGAGGAGGCTGAGACTGGCACTGGACCCTGGGCCTAACCCACAGAGGACTTGAGTGCCCTGGGGTGGAGCCTGAGAGCCGAGGTACATCCTGCTCTGTGGGGTCCCCCACGTCAGCTGTCCAACAGAGCTGAGCCTGGGTGGCAGCCCTGGTCTGAGGTCACTCCTCCCGTCGGCCCTCACCGCAGGGTGGCAGGGGCCGTGCTCCTCCCCGCTGCTCCACGGGGAAGCACCCCCCACTGCTGCTGGGGTGTGCCCGGTGCCCAGGGCAGAGCTTCGGAAGTGCAGGGTGTCGGCCTTCCTCCCTGCTCTCCAGCTGTCCACCGTTGGGATGCTCAGTGTGAGTGGCCTCTCCCAGAGAGGGCAGGATTAGTCTTCCAACCCTCCACGCCTGCCCCGAGGGCCCAGGAGGGCCACCAGCGTGGTTTCTAGTGATTAGTGACCCAGGACCAGGAACTGTGGAGGGTGATCTTGCTGCAGCCTGTGCTGTGGAGGTCGCGACTCTCCCGGGTTGCTGCGGGGAGTAGATCCGCGCGTGGGGCGGGCGCTGGACGCAGGCCACGGGGGCTGTTTCCTGAGGAGTCAGCGAGGTCTGTGAGCTCTGCCCTCCCTCCGTCATCCCGTGAAGTGGCCGTCTGCTCATCGTGGTGTCTGCACGTGGGCGTGTGTCGGTGCCTGGCTGCCTGACCGCAGTTAGGCCAGCTTCCCGTCCTCCTCGCTGGAGGCAGATGAGCTTCTGTGGGAACCCCCCGCAGCGTCTGAGGACCGAAGTCAAAGCTGAAAGTCTGCGCGTTTCAGAGAAGGGAAAGAGGAAATCGCTTTGAAAAGTAGACAAGACCCCGTCACCGATGAAACGGACCCACGGCCCTGGCATGGAGCCGGGACGGGTACAGGACCGGGCCCCTGGACCCCAGAGATCACGKGTCCCCCTGGACTGTGGTCCCACGGGCCCTGGAGGCTGGGCGCCTGGCCACACGGAGCCGGGCGGAAGCGCCTGTGCCCTGTGTGTCACTGGGTGGACGTCGGTCCTGCAGGTTGTGGTGCAGTKCTGACTGGCCCACAGTGGGACTTCACTGGTGGGGACCACAGACGTCCAGCGGGGAGGAGAGAGGCCTCGGGCAGACGGCTTTCCTCTTGCTCCAAAGCAGTGGAGTCTGTTCTCCTGGCTTGGGTGGAAGGACGAGAGGCTGCCATACCTGAGCATCCGAGCCCCGCAGCGGGGGCAGCGTCCTCTGGCCTCCAGGGTACTGAGCCAGGACACGGCCGTCAACAGCAGGGCTGGGACGCCTGTGTGGACGGAGGGGGTGTCTTCCCAGGGGCAGGAGGTGGGCACCAGCAGTGCCAGCCTCTAGAGACCTCTCTGAGTTTTCCGTGTGCAGTGGACCCGGCTCTCAGGCCCGAGGCTGGGCTTCTGGAGACRTGCCCTCTAGTGGGCGGGACTGCAAGGTGCCGGGGGCTGCTGCCCCTCCGTGGTCGGCTCTGCGTCACCTCAGAGGGTCCACCCCAGACTAGTAAAGGTAAAGGAAGCAGCACTAGGCAGAGCTGCCTTTCTCTGAGAATGGAGACAGACGTGGCTGGAGCTCCTCACGGTGGAGGTGCCAAACCCAACAAGGTTTCCATGGGCCAGGRTCCTGCAGAGGTTCCTGTCCCCTGACTGATGACTGAGCCCGCAGCCTCTGCAGCTCAGTGACACAGTCAGGCTGCTGCTGCGCCTGCTCGTTCTCCTGCCTCCCCACACTTGGGTGCGTGTGTGGCCGGGCTCCGTGTCTGAGGCACTCTTGGCACTGAGCAGCTCTGTGGAGGCGGAGGTTGGTGGCCTTGGAGGCTCGCAGACCCCAGGACTCGGCAGTGTTCTCACACGTCTCTTCACTCAGAAGGCCTCTGTCACATTCATCTTATAACTGGGGCTTGGAGAAAAAATGTCAGATCCTTCAAGCCGTTTCCGAGCTGGCTGCTGTCGCCTGGTACCCCAGCTCGCAGCCCGGTGGGTCCTGGTGGAGTCCCGTGGCACCGTGAGGCATGGCTTCCTGCCTCCTGGGGTCCTCGGAGCGCATGGCAGAGTTGCTTTGTCTGAAAGAGAGACTGGCCTCGCGGGCTCTGGGGCCGTGACCCAGGGTTCAGACCCAGTTCTGCCGTCCACTAGGGGGTCACCACACTGCAGAGTTGCCAGGCCACAGGGCCTTCTGTGCCTTCTCTCTCCCCAGAGAATCCTTTGTTCCCATGCGATCGCACAAAGCCAGGGGCATGGAACCCTGTGGAGATGCTCAAGGTCTGAAGTCCGCTCCCGGTCCTGAGGCTGATGGAGGTCGGAGGTCGCTGGCCCGGCTGTCGGACTTGGGCAGGGGCCCCTGGTTTTTGCATGGGCCTTTATCAACTCTGCTGGGTCGCTGGGTCCAGTGCGAAGCCCAGCACAGCCTGGGCACTCTGGCAGGCCGCATGGTCCTGCTTCCCGAGTCCCTGAGGGCAGAGCATGCTCTCATTCCGTGCTCTCATCACACTAGAGATGTGACCAGTGTCCAAGGGGGGCTTCATCTTGCAAGTCTGCTTCATCTTTGAAGATGGCTTGTCCTTCCTTTGGGTACGGGTGGGGCCCAGCACCCTGCTGCAGAGCCACATCTGGCCCTGTCTTCTGTACTTTCAAGGACTTCCAAGTTGGTGTGGTCAGGCTCGGCCTCTGGAGGTCCGCAGGATTGACCAGCATGATGTGGCCATTATCTTAAAAAGGTAAGCAGACCAGTCCAAAGGCTCACTGAGAATCGCAAGTCCTCGGCTCTGTGAGGACTCTGTCCCTCGAGGGCCCGCTCCTGGTTCTTACCGGCTAATTCCAGGCCCTAACTCCCCACCTCTGTTCGAGGGACAAAGTCACCTTTGGAAATGACAGGAGCACAGGTGAGGAGTGGCCAGCATGTGGCTGTGTCCAGGGCACCCCCACTGGGGTCGCTTCCTCGTGGGGCAGGCCAGGGCCCTGGGCACCAGGGCTGGGCTCAGGAGGAGTAGCAGAGATGCCCATCTGAGCCGGGAACCCAGCTAAGCAGCAGCCTCCCTCCAGCTCCTCCCAGACGGTGCCTTGGCCAGAGCCCACCCCAACCCCTGCCTGTGGGCCCAGGGCTGCGACGAGCAGAGGGGTCCGCTAGGCATGTGGCTGCTCCGCGCTCTCCCCCTGGGGTGGGAAGTCCTCACGCAGGTGGGGAGGCACGGCCCCGCGCAGAGAGCAAGAGCCCGGCGGGCGGCAGGCACCCTGGGTGGCAGCAGAGGAGCCATTGTCTGTGGGGGCCAGGCTGGTGGCAGGGCTGGTGGCAGGGCTGCCTGCGCTGTCCTCTCTGTGTCCCTTCTAGACAGTGTTTTGGGGTGCTGGGTCTGGTGTGTGCTACAGGGCTGTTCCCTGCCTGTYTTGGCCACCACCCCATCCTAAGTCCCTGGCGTCTGGCCGGCTCGCCAGGCAGGGTCGGCTCACACTTTTACTGCCGGAGATGATCGGTGTGGATTTCCTAGCGGTAGCTTAAGGCCACACCRTAGATGGACGAGGGGTCCAGAGCAGCCTGCCCACTCCTCATCCCCCAGACGCCARCAGCAGGACGCTGGGCCACTGCCGTCAGGTGTGCCCTGTTGGGCAGCAGACATGCTGCTGTGGCCACGAGGCTGGGAATGGCGAGGAGCGCCCCGGACAGAGCGCGGCCTTTTGGAGACTGCCCAGAGCACAGACCCTCTGTGGCCCAGAGCGTGTAATACTGAGCCCACGTGAGCCCATGGGACTGTGGGTGGCCGGGGTGACAGTGCTGAAGTGAACGGCATGCAGGCCTGAACCCCCACGCTTGCCCAGTACGCTCCACAGCGGCCCTGGGAGTCAGAGGGCAGCATCCGTGGCCAGGGGTGGAGGGTCAGAGCCGCTGGCTGGGGTCAGGCGCAGCCGCTGTCGGTGCAGAGCGGTGCTTGCCAAGCAAACCCACCCCACCGTTTCCTCTCCCCGAGCTCGCGGCCAGCGGGAGAACAGAAGGCGGAACTGCCCRGTTATTTCAAGAAGCCGGCAGCCCCCCTCGGGGCTTGTCGCTGTTGTTTGAACTTGAGACTTCCTGAGCCTAAGGTGTCTGTGCTTCCAGCAGCTCCTGGCTGCGGAGCCTGCCCACTCGGCCCGTCTGAGGAAGGAAGCGTCCAACGCAAAGGCAGATGGGCGGGCGCGGCCGTCCACCCTGCTCTCTCCAGAGCCCCAGGCTTCCCTCTGCCCACTCTGCGAGGTGTGGGGCAGCCCAAGACCTCAGGACAGGCTGCAGGAGGACCGCAGGTGCCTGAGGATAGGAAGTCCAGAGCCCAGGAGGTGGCTTGGGACAGCCCGAGGTCTCCAGGAGCGTGACCACTCAGCACCGAGAGCCTCCTGCAGGCTGCTGGCGACTGCACGGCCTCCRGCTGTCCCTGTGGAGACCTGAAAGTGGTGGACACTGCGAGGCGCACTTGGTCGCGGCCACCCTGCCCCAAGGTTGGACTGGCCTGTGTCTCTGAATCAGAGACCCTTGTGAGGGCAGCTCCATGGCTGAGAAGGGAGCCTCGCGGGGGCCCATGCGCCGCTTCTGGTCACTGCCCAGGAAGCGCCGGGGAGCCCCAGGGCGCCCAAAGCCAGGTGAGATGGGAGGGATGGCATGGGGACATGGGGACAGGACTGGTGTCCCCTGGGGCAGGTGCCGCCCTGTGGTATTTCTTTCACATTGGAAAACTCTGAGCTGCGTGAGGACTCTTGTACGAACCCAGGGTGACCTGTGGGTGTGGCCGAGAGCCGGCCTGGGGTCCAGGGGTGACCTGTGGGTGTGGCCGAGAGCCGGCCGTGGTCCAGGTTTGTTCGGCGCACCCTGGGTCTGCTTTGGTCCACCATCCTGAGGACCCGGCTCTCCTGCTGGCCGCTCCAGGAGAGGAGGCCATATGGAGAACTGTGTGGGGGACACTAGGCCAGAGGGGGAGTCGGGCAGGAGGGTGGGCGGAGCCTTGGGCAGTGGGTCCTGGGTGCACCCTCTCCCCCACAGCTGCCCTCCTGCCCGCCGGCCCCCTTGGAGCAGAGCCTGGGAATTCCCCCAGCTCTCAGAATCATGTTTACGGATTGACTGCCCAGGGAGCGAGGACATGGCAGTGGGGCTGGAGAGAGCTGCTGCCCTGGGTGTCTGCTGCTGCTGGTGGGTGCAGCGTCTCCCCAGGGACCTGGGAATGCAGGGCAGCTGCCAGGCCTGTGGATGCAGCTTCTGCTCTCGGCACACTCCGTCCTGAGGTACCAGTGGAATCCGTCCCCTGCACACCTGCCCTTGACCCGTGGACTCAGGAAGAGAGGGCCAGGCAGCCGCTGGGCTCTGACTGCCATCTGAGGGTGGACGGGAGGCAGCCATGCTGGAGTGACAGAGCTGAGGGGTGGCCAGGGATGCCTGATGACCCCCCAGAGTGGCACAGTGGGGCAGACCTTGCCCCTGCCTCTCCCTTCCTCCTCCTCCCTGTGGGTGCAGGTGGTATCTAGGTCACGGAGGACATTGCCTGCTGGTCAGGCTGAGCTGAGCTCTGGGCCAAGATGCCAGGCCCTCCCACCCCAGCACAGCTCCTGGGCACAGCGGGGGCCAGGCGAACCCAGCGCCTGCTGGCACAGCCAGGTGCCCAGCGGTGCCGCTCTCTCCTCTCCGGGCCGAACCCTAGGCCCCCGACCACACCAGGAAGGGGCTCCAGGAGGAGGACCAGATGTGTCCCCATGAAAGGATCCCCCAGGACTCGCGCTGTGCAGTGGCCCCACTTGTCCCCGCGAGAGCTCAGCCTGCTCCAGGGGAGGTTGAGGGGCAGGTGACTCTTCCTCTGAGTTCTGCTGTTCCTGGTAACCCCAGAGTCTCGCTCCAGACACTAGCTCTGCACTCTGTCCTGGTGAGGGTCCACACTGGTGAGGGTCTGTCCAGAGATCGCAGAGATGCGTAAAGAAGTGTGTCTTCCATTCCTGGTCCCAACCCCAGGAGTGGGTGTGGGTCTCTGCTCACTGGCCCTGGGCGGGCTAGGGCGTGCACCTCCAGCAGGCCCTGGAGGGCCACCCCCCAGGCGCCGGGTGGGGCTGCCTGTCTCCTGTGGGGCCACACTGCAGGCTGCAGTTCAGGGCTGCCCGCCCAGCATTGATGTCCAAGAAATTRGAGCCCATCTGTGGGGCCCCTTGGTCCATCCCCCACAGGGATTGGTGGCCTGCGTGTGAGGCCCCTGTGCCTGTCCCCACTGTAGGGACTTGGTGGCCCATGTGTGGGCCCCTCGGCCTGTCCCCTGCAGGGACCTGGTGGCCTGTGTGTGGGCCCCTCAGCCTGTCCCCTGCAGGGACCTGGTGGCCTGTGTGTGGGCCCCTCAGCCTGTCCCCTGCAGGGACCTGGTGGCCTGTGTGTGGGCCCCTCAGCCTGTCCCCTGCAGGGACCTGGTGGCCTGTGTGTGGGCCCCTCAGCCTGTCCCCTGCAGGGACCTGGTGGCCTGTGTGTGGGCCCCTCAGCCTGTCCCCTGCAGGGACCTGGTGGCCTGTGTGTGGGCCCCTCAGCCTGTCCCCTGCAGGGACCTGGTGGCCCGTGTGTGGGCCCCTCGGCTTGTTCCCTGCAGGGACCTGATGGCCTGTCCCCCTGCAGGGACTTGATACCTTCAGTTCTTGCCTTCTGTGTTGTCAGGCTCAGGAGGTCAGGAGGGAGCGGCTGCGGGTGGGCATCCTGCCCAGGTGCTGGCCTGGGCCAGGCCCTGAGGAAGTTGTCCCTAGGAGGAGGTGAGCTCAGCTGGGTGGGGAACCTGGACCCCAGGAGGTCACAGATGCCACTTCTGAGGGCATGTGGTCCATCAGCTTCTAGGCCACAGAAGGGCCCACAGCTTCTGGCCCTGAGGGGCGGAGCTGAACAGAGCCACAAGGCCCTGTCTGTGAGGGGACCCGGGGGCAGGCCTCTGGCGGGTCAGTGTGTCCTGGCAGGCTGAGCAGCACCCTTGGGCCCAGCAGGGGAGGTGTGGTCCCTCTGTGAGRAGCAGTCCCAAAGTCTTGTGGGGAGGGGGGGAGTGGTGAGTAGAGGGCACCCCTGACCTTCCCCAGCCGCTGGCCAGGAGGACTGTTTGGTGGCCAAGGGGTCAGAGACTGTTTTTTTTATGGGCCTCAACATGCAGCTATTGGAGGGAGTGTGGGGAGTCCTGTGGAAGTGGCCAGGGCAGCTGTGTCCACTAGGAATCTGGAGGGCGCAGGAGCAGGGGCCCAGCTGGGGTGCAGCAGGGGCAGCTGGGAGGCGCTCCCAGGCTTGGTCTCCTCCTTCAGGGAGCGCGCCATGTCTGGAGAGAAGGGAGGGTCTGAGCAGCCTCAGAGCACGGGAGGACCCAGGCCTGAGGGCTGGCCAGGCTGCAGCTCACCTCTTGGGGCCCTGGAGACTCAGATGGCCAAAGGTTTGCCTCTGCGACTCAGGGTAGGGGACAGCTCA